AAAAAAAAAAAGAAAGAAATGAATAAATGTTGGATTTATGGCAGTATTCTTTGTTTCATCAAATTTCCATGAACTAAATCCGGTCTAATTATTGCGCATTAATTGAACTGTTCAGTTGTTTGCCACAAATCATCATCCATCTTCATTTTTTCAGTTTTTCTACTTCTACTGCCTACTTCCTGGTCATCATCTACTGCTTCTACATTTTTTTGCATCTGTATCCATATCTAATGAATAAGAAATTTCTTTTTTTTTTTTTTTCATTTTTCTTAAAGAGTTTCAAACATTAGTGGGATTACTGATGGCAGCACCGTTGTCAACAGTCTGTAATAACAGATATTCTTTTCATCAGAACATTTTGAATTTAGTCATCTTGCGGTAGACATAACTGAATATATCTATTTGATTTTAGATCGTCAAACTAGACTAATATACTTTTTAATAATTAGAATTTTTTTTTTTGGAGAGGGAGGAAAAGGGGAGAAAAAAAAATTTTGAACATTAGGAGAGAGAAAAAAAGGATATATTGACGATTACATTACATTAACATTATTGCCATTATAAACAACAATAATTGTAATCATTATTATTACTATTAATGTTATTATTATCGATGTTGTTGCTTTTTCCATCATTATTACTAATGGCTAACGTTCCATTGAACACTCAAATGATTGATCTGTAAAATCAGATATTTAAATTTTTTCTTATTTTATCCCGAAAAAAAAAAAAATTTTTTTTTGTTTCCACTATATTACCTTTAGTTTGATTATTCTGCTATGTTTTTTTTTGCCGATTAGGCTATTTCTTTTTCATATCCATAACTTCTTTAATTTTCTTTTTTTTTTTTTTTTGCTTTTTCTAATAAAAATTGAAATTACAATTGCATTAAGGTTTTGTTTTTTTTTTCTGCTACTTGTCTTTTCTTTAAAATAAAAAAAAAAGATGTGTGTGTGTGTGTGTGTTTTTTAATCCTCTCTTCCTCTAGATTAATTTTTGGTAAATTCAACTGCGAGAAAAAAAAAAAAAAGCGAAAAATAAATTATTTAAGGTTTTGACAAGAATAAAACACAAAATATATATATATATATATAAAAATTGAAATTCAGATAACTGTTCGAAGACAAAATGCAACAGCAACAGTTTCAACTAATTATTTTTCTTCAATTTTACTTATAATATCTGACAAAAAAAGTGATGCTAAAACTGAAGAATTTTAAAAGAAGAAATTATTCTGTAAAATACTATGCTTTTCAGTAATACCTTAAAAATGTTTCTGGAACTTAATGATGATGATGATGTTGATTATGGGAGAACAAATGTGTAACCAAATTTTTTTGTTTTCAACATATTGGCAATTCTAAATTTGTAACCATCGAAGTGATTGTCAGCAAAAAAATTTACCAAAAGGTTCAGAAAAAGATTGCGGAAAAACTGTGGTTGTGGTGACAAAATAATCAATTGTTTGTTTTCAAAATTAAATTTATTTTCGACATTTTTTTTTTTTTGTACATAAAAAACTAAGCAACTTTATGAAGCATTTTCTAGGCTAAATCTGAACTGATTATTCTTAATAAGCATTTAACCAAAAAAAAAAAAAAAAACAAAAAAACAGTATAATTTTGCTGCTTGTTTCTTCTTTTTTTTTTTTTTCTTCTATTTATAACTGCGGCTTCTATAAGACAGTATATTGCTTATAGACTAAATTTTGTCCACTAAATAACGCTTAAAACTAAGCAAGTTGAGAGTTTATAGCTTCATAATTTATTTCTTTATTTTCAATCAAATAATTATTTGTTTTGTTTGATTGAAAAAAAAAAAGGAATTGATAAAATATATACATATATCAATTTTTCAAATTTAATTTTTCAAAAAAAAAAATTGTTTTCTTTTATTACTAACTAATTTGATGTTATCACTTGTTTCCGCCGTTACCTAACGCTTATTCTACAAACAGCATTAATAGCTGAAAAAGTTTGTACTAA